TGAGCTGCAGCCCATAAATGCTCCTTTACCTGTATAGTCGCCCGCTGACATGTACAAATATCGCCTTCAAGTACGAGACATACATGCAGTTTTGTACAAACCCATCCCTGAGCAGCAAGAACAGGGAGCGAGGTTTTTGTTGAAATTGTATTGAATGGCATTTTACAAGCATTATCGGAGTGCCTGTACAGCGTGTGTCGAGTAAACAATAAGAAAAATTGATCTGACCGTACAAAATCTGGTTGGGTTCAAGGAAATAAGAATTCTAGGAGCAAATGTTCCTTATTGATGTCTTGGACAAAATGGGATGGGTGGGACAATGGTCTAGTCTGATGGGTCGTTCGCGTTATTTTTAACAACATCGGTTAAAAGTCCTAGCCCTTGGCCCTGTCTGCCTTCGTCCAACGATGGGGCTACTTGGTGGGTTTCCAACAGATAGTTCAGTCATCCGAGTAAATGTTCTTAGTCAATGAGGGCCATGCAAAGAGAGCTGTGTGCATAACTTTAAGTGTCTGAGGACGAACAGACGAATTCACTACTCGGGACGTCGGACCTCCCCCGATGGAAGCAGAAATTGACATGTCCCCGGGAATCATACCTTTGCTGCTATCGACGTTTATTATTTTAATGAGAACAGCATTGCGCATGTCTTACCATGGATCGGTTTTTTGTGGGAATCGTCAGTAGCCAGTGGACGTGATCCTTGTTTTTTGGTGCAGAAGCCTTGTAATGTCCCATGAAGGAGAACTGTACCCTTGCACGTATTTTTCTCACAGATTTCTTTTACTTGCGCACATTCAATAAACAGTCGTTTCTCACAACTGTTATGTATGCAAAACAGAAGGCTAATTGGAAATAGGACGTGTACTGAGTACGATAGACAGCACAAGTGAGGAGGCTTGTGGAAACGGCCGGGTATATGGCAAGGGGTACTGTCATAGGCTGATGGGTGGCCAATCAGCACAAAGACAGTGCGAACAGGGGGCCATGACCTTGATCGTTCGCTTGTCACGCGTTTGTGGCATGATGTCCTGACGGCCCGGGCAGGATACACTGCAACAACTGTCTCTCTACTCTCCCTACGTTGGTTTTTCAACTCTGGCCGTCGTGTCGACTACCACGCCATAGGCACGCCAGACAGTCAGGTCTAGTCACGTCGTACCGTCCTCTGACCACAGAGGCGGATGCCGCCAACATAGGCTGGTGCTGGCAGGGCGAATAACGGGTAGTAGTGCTTGTAGGATTGTTTAAACAGAGCGATATACGAAATGAACGCAATAATGCTATCTATACTGAAAGGCTGTGCATTACTATCAATGACTTGTGCTGGGGATACAATAGAAAAGACCCTTCTGGCAGGACCATGGCTCCGTCCATCCGAGTGTTGCCCTGGCTTTAGGATGGCGACATGTTCTAGTTTGTTACTATGATCACGGAATTTTAAAAGTATTTACAAGTAATACCAGACAAATGAGCAGAAAATTACTGTCAAGTCCGGCTGAGCACAGCTATATCATTCTTCTCTCTAAGTGGAACTATTTCGGTTTGACTACTACCTCGCAGTTACGGTCTGATATTGGCACCAGAACCGTACATACGGGATTATTTTCTGCGTTTCAGGAGTATTATTTCAGTGTCTAAATCCTTCAACAAATTGAATCAAACATGATTTGGTCGATAAAATAGATTAGGTTTAGTTTAGCACCTCTAGGGCGCTGTCAATCGCCTTAAAACGAAAGGAAATACCTAGAGCAAACTCACCAATTTCGGCTGCACTTCGGCATTTATTTTGAGTGTCTGCTTAGTCAGTAAAGCGTGATTTGGGGGTTTGTTTTAGCTTAAAAACCCGAGTTCTAGAGCAGAATAGTGTCAACGTTAGAAAAAGGAACGAGATATACAATATAGGGATTTAAGTTTGGAATTTGGTATTTTTTGGGCCATGAATATTTCACCTTTCGTGCGACTTGGAGAAATTTGGTTTCGGCCTGAGGTTGAGTTATCGGCGAGTTGATTAATTTGGGTGTCTGTGTAACGCCTAACGAACTGCTCTACGTCGGCGCCTTCCACGGCCCTTCTCCGCTGTTGCCCACAGCGCTCCACTCCGCATTGGTTTTCTAACAGGAGTGTCGGCTGTACCTCTTCGACCAGACGGTCCACCTCTCTGGTTTACTTTTTTCTTTCTTGTATTATTGGCTATTACTATGTATAAAAGCGCCATCCGTTCTTATTATATATGCCAGTGCTCGCCGATTTCTCCTTTTAACTTGTCGTTTAGATGAGTGCTGTGGCGTGTTCACAACTCTACTCAGCTCGTTCTAAACAAGGAATCACTCCTAGGGATTCACGTTGTCTCATGTATGCTATCCTCAACGTCACCGGCCGCTACATCTGTAGTTTATTTGAGTAGTTGCTTAAGACTTATTGCATCGTTCTTTTGTGTCTCCCTGAAGGCTTATCATAGTTGTCTGAACTAACAGCTGAAAAAGGTGAATACGTGTCAAGGGCACGAAACCCTCAGTGATAAGTCACAATCAAAGACATCAAAATGATATTGTACCAGGTATCATATTATCTATGGTAGTATAGTATCATAGGCTGATTAGTCGATTGTTTCATATGACATTTAGATTATCGCAACTGACGACGTTCACCGTGTGCTTCACGGCTAGGTGAAACAGGGCGCTGACTTGAGTGTGATTTCTTTTATAGTAATGGGAGACTTGGAAAGCATCTGTCACACTCTCTCCTCCCCATCTGGAATGGCACCAGGAATACCGGAGGCGCAACGCAAACTGGGAGGTGGGTCTGCCTCGAGCCCCGACTTTTGGCATTTGATATGAGTGATCATTCCCGATAATGCCTTCCGGTGTCCGATGCGGCCCCCGTGTTATTCCAGCGTATCTGCCGTGTGGCTCATTATGGGGACACGATTGCATTATATAGTCCTGTATAGTCTTGCATAGGCTTAACGTAGTCTCATATAGCCTTACGGACAAATAATATGTCGTGATTTATCGAAAGACATATTAGTTTTGCTGCTTGAAGGTTTAAGTGTCTAGTGAATTAGCTGATGGGAATGGCATGAAGAAGAAAGAAGCGGCGATATATCTATTTGTGACATGCTTATTAATGATGCTGTCCATCTCATATATAATTGCTTTAAGGCAATGTTCTGGTGTTATCCAAGTGACTGGCATCATCAGAGCCCTTTAGGACCAATTCCTCTGTCAGAAAATTGACTTTAAAAGTGTCCTATCTTATTTTAAAACAAATGCGTATTGTTATTTAGAAGGGATTTCTCGGTTTCCCAAATTTTATTGGGTTTCGTCTTCGTAGAATAGGACAAGGAAGGGCATTTAATAAAGTTGCATACGTTGTGGAGTAGAAGTTTGATCGTTGGGAATTTTTGAATTTAAGTTAGCCTAAGTCAGTTAATTAAGAGGATGAGCCTTTTATCATTAAACGCCCTATTCATATCGATAAACAGCAACAGAATCAATTACTACACCAGTAAATCTGTAAATTCAAAAGTTGACGGCAAGTGTGAGCCAGGCGCAAACTGCCGCCACCAAGATAGCCGTGATTATATGTGCAGTCGTTTCTCGGAAACTAAGCGTCTAGTCACAATTTAAATGTTTCGACAGTTTCGGAAAGAAACACCGTATCAGGGAGTCCACTCCGTGTTCCAATGATCCCCTGCGAGAAGGCGTTCCATCGCATGTTGGTAGAAGCCAGTTTCCTCTGCAGTTTAAGAAGACCACACAGGCGGTCCGTCCCAGCCAATTCGAAGAATTCGTCAAAGTCTGGGGCACATTGACGGCCTCTGACAGTCTGGTAGATGGGAATAGTATCGCCGCACATTTGTCTGAAATTTGGGATTCTTATGATATCTTCGTTATTTCTAGTGTCTGGAGTCGTTGGGATTTGTTAGCTTATTCATTCTGATAATATCTTGGTCATGTGTGACCTTTGATGGAAAGTTAGGACAACTTTGAAATGTGCTGATCCAGAGGGGTCGAAGACCGTGTATGTGGGATCGAAAACCATATTAACCGTATAATTATACGCACGAACCCTGGGTGCCATCGCATTTGGACAGAGATTTACTAAAGCGTCTCCGAATGCCTTCTAATTTCTCTCGACCATCTGAGAACATTGTGGCAAAGAAAGGTGAGCGCACGTATTTAAGAGTTGTCCTTAGCGCATTTAAAGTGAAATTTTCCATATGAATCAGCAAAGGCGAGTGACTTTCGGTGATTATTTTCTAACGTTGGGAGATAGGGCAAGAGTATTTGTATAGGTCAGACCCAAGTCCATTATTGATTTGGTTTTTTTATTTAATTATCCTCGAGAACTATGATGGGAAGTTTTGTGGACCAAGAATCAGGGGATGGCATTTTGTCGGTGAGAATGGCATTTGCCACTGCCTACCCCATTCTTTAAATTTTTTGAGATCGGCTTCGGTTGTTCTATACATACAGATTACTGTAGGCCCGTTATATTCATATGCGACTTTCAGGTCGTCCACATATAAAACGTTCTAGATGAGACTGATATGGACGATGAATCGTGAACTGATACGAGAGATAGAAGGGGACGAAGGATAATGCCCTGAAGTACACCACTGACAATATGGGATGGTTTTGAGACATAGCTTCAAATCTGTACCATCTGATATCAGTTTTGAAGGTAGGATTTGAGAAAACCGAGATGACCGAGGAGGGAAAATTCCATGCTCTACGAGGTTTATTTTTAGCCTTTTAAAAGGAACCTTATCGAGGACCCTTTTAAGATCGAAGCCTATTGT